CTAGCGCGAGCAATCTGGAATAAATCAAATGAACCGAGTGAGTTGTCACATCATACTTGAGCCTGCAAAACATGACATCTAAACAGCGGTCCCTACGAAGATTATGCGTTGTCTGAGAAATATAATGTCATGCACTTCTCTGATTGGTCGATTTAAACCAACACGGCTAGGGCGGTTTGATTCAAGAATTATTGGACCAACATTTTTATTATTGACTTGTTGTTTGGGAACTCTTTGCCCATCTTCTATAGTGGAAAACCTCCGTGTTAGATAATGATGAGACCAATGTAAGTATGAAAAATATTTCAATCTATTAAACTTGTGGTTTTGATGTTAAACTGTTTTGTGTTCACATGTAGCCCGAAAACTCCTTCGGCGAAAACGCCGCGCAGCGCGAAGACACCAAGACGACCCACAGGCAACAAGGATCCTGTCGAGGTAAGGAAAGGAGTTATTTTTCATCTAAAGGTCAAATAATTTCCAATGATCGGTTCATCAAAGTGATAGCACGGGAGATCTTTGTGAATCTTTCGAGGGTAGAGTACATCTGACGCACCAAGTGCCGGCATAATTGGGTCTACATTTAGCTTACTTCAAACGGATAGTGCAGTACTGAAAACAAGAACTATCGCGTAAATTATCATCACTTAAAGATTTCCAACAAACAAAACGAGGCACATGTTCTAGAATTGTGTTAAAGAGACTTAATCGGAAGTAACTGTAAAACCTAGCTACAGCAGCAATTGCTCCATGATCTGAATTCGAAGAGTAAATACGTAAGATTGTAAGCCTATTTCGTGATGGCGTTGTAATCATGGGTCCTACAGTGTAATATTAGACACAGACACGTGCTTTAACGAAATTTTATGCTAATCCTTCGTTATTTCTAGGTGTATTGCCGGATTAGACCTCTCGGCAATAATGAAGAAGAATCTTGCGTTCAAATTATCAGCGATACTGTGTTGCAGCTAACAGCACCTAAGGTAAGCACAAGTTCCATGAACACCTTGAATGAATAGGGCATCATGATCCTAAGCATGAAGACTTGACAGCATTACACATGTAGACTAGCTATGCGAGACTTCAGAAAAGCAAAGAAAAACTGGTATTTAATGCAACTGTTCCTCTGTCGGGTTTTGGAATTCTGCATTTTACTATCCAATTTTCGAATGCATGTGACTCAAATTTCAACATGGAAGCATGATATTGTACCGCCTACCTGTACAAAGTCATGTACTTTATATCACAGTCCAGATACTCATAACCTCTGCGACAACCCTGAGTGTTTTATCCACTCAAGCCAAGGATATAGCAGGATCACCTGTTTGGCTCTGTGGTTTTTAATGGTCCTGTTCATGTGCAAGGAATTTTTCATGAATGTTCTTTTTTTTTTCCCTTTTTTTTCTTCAATTGAAAGTCATCAACTTGCATAGCTACTAAGTTATGATAAAATCTGTGCGTGGTACTGGCAGAGCTCCAAGAGTTGCTACACTTACAGTCTATTTGAAATAACTAAATTAAAAATACATTTTTGTATTTTACATGAAAGTTAAATTTGTCTCACTGGATTTCACTTTTTTGTAATTACAGGGTTCCTTCACTCCTTGAATTCCTTGAATTTAATTTTTTGTTTTCAAAAACTTGAAAACCCTTGAATTTAAACTCGGGTCCTTGAAAATTCTGAAAAGTCCTTGAAAATAAGTAGTGTAGATAAATCAAAGTCAAAGTTTTCTTGTTTTTGTTGTTGAAAGTGTGAGTTTCTGGCACAAATTGCAAAAATTAGTTTTACTTTCAAATCCCACATCTGATTATGATGTTTAATATGTGATTTCATATATTTTGTCCCTGATTGGTGCATTGAAAATAATCTTGGTGACATAGCTCGTGATCACTCTGATGTGGATGCTTGAAGTCACGCTCGTTGGACTTTTCGGCTGGTCCTACATGCCCGTCCATGTAATTAAAATGTAATATTTAATAAAGAGCAATGTTTTTATTTCTATATAGCTCCTATTTAATGCAAACAGTCCTTGAATTTGAGAACCGAGGTCCTTGAAAATCCTTGAATTGGGTTCCTGAAAAAGTGCAAGAACCCTGTAATTAATACATAAGTTTATTTTCAAATCTGTCAAAAGGGTCAGGAACTTTTCACAATTTACAGGAAAAGGAAACATTATCACTTCTCTTTAATCTTGCCCTGTTGCTACCATAGCATTCCTTTCTAAGTTTTGCAAGTTAAACAAAGTTGAACCATCAAAATCATGCAAATTAATCTAAGGATGAATTTCTCACTCCCACTAGGTAACATCAATGCATCCTTGATGACATTAAGAACTTGTATGGAGGTTCTGAGAGAGAACCAAGCAAATGCTGAGAATGGTGTTTCTCCAAAG